CACCGTAGAGACTGTATGGGCGCCCTATAGACTGTACGGCTGCCCTATAGAGTGTATGGGTGCTCTATAGACTGTATGGGCTCCCTATAGAGTGTATGGGTGCCCTACAGACTGTACGGGCCCTCTGTGCATTGCATGGGCGCGCTATAGACTGTACGGGTGCCCTATGCTTTGCCTGGGCCCCCCTATAGACTGTATGGGCCCCTATAAACTGTATGGGCGCTCTATGCATTGCATAGGCACTCTATAGTCTGTATGGGTGCCCTATAGACTGTATGGGTGCCCTATGCATTGTATGGGTGCCCTATACAGTGTATGGGCGCCCTATGCATTGTATGGGCACCCTATATGCTGTAGGGGTGCCCTATACACTGTATGGGTGCTCTACACCTTGCATGGGTGCCCTACACATTGTATGGGTGCCCCGTACCTTGCACGAGCGTCCTGGTGCCTGGCACTGTCCTGGGCGCCTTGTGCCTTTCATGGGTGCCCTGTGTCTTGCACGGGTGCCCCACACCTTGCACAAGTGTCCTGTGCCTTGCACGGGCACCCTACACTTCGTATGGGTGCCTGGCACTTTCATGGGTGCCCTGTGTTTTGCTTGGGTGTCTTGCACCTTTCACGGGTGCCCCACACATTGCACGGGCACCCTATACATTGCATAGGTATCCTGCGCCTTGCACGGGTGCCCTGCACCTTTCTTGGGTGCCTGGTGACTTTCATGGGTGCCCTGAGCCTTGCACGGGTGCCCTGCACATTGCACGGGTGCCCTGCACTTTGCATGGGTGCCCTGCGCATTGCACAAGTGTCCTGCACATTGCACGGGTGCCCTGCACTTTGCATGGGTGCCCTGCACATTGCACGGGTGCCCTGTGCCTCCATGGGTGTCACACACCTCCCATGGGTGTCGCATTCCTCCCACGGGTGTCGCATACCTCCCACGGGTGTCACACACCTCCCACGGGTGTCCCGTGCCTCCCACGGGTGTCACACACCTCCCACGGGTGCCCTGCGCCCCATTCTCAGCTTTGCCCTCG